CGCCGCGTGATACAACCGCCCGCGCGATGTAATATTTAATAAAATCCTGTCTCTAATTCGTTTCAGGGGATACTTTTCTCTACGCCCGCGATCGCTCGCCTCACGTTCGAAATATTACTCCTGCGACTCCAGCGTCGTATTCGTGCTTTTACTCTCTTAGTCAATTCGGTGAAAATGTCACCGATTGAATCAGTGAAACTTCCTGCAGTTAGATTTCTCCGACGGAAACGGTCGCTGCTATGGATAGACATTTCCAGGGAAATTTGCTGCTACTGATCACTGCGGTACTATATTTATAACCACCAGTGACTGTTGACTGCTTTTCAGTGATAATACACTGATTGCACCTTAGAGAGTAGTAACGCTTTTAGCGCTCGTTACCGGCGACGGGTGCAAAAATGAAATTCGTAACGCGGACTGTATTTCTATCGTCGAATCTCGCGGCCGTATAATCCGCCGTAATGATCTTTAGAGGCGTTTCGAGCGAACGTCTCGTGTATTTTGCACGTCGCTCCGCAATGGGGCTCGTTACGAATTCATCGTGCAAGACCTTTCGGTGTGCGCGCCGATAGAGCCGCGCGACGTCGCCCACGTCCGGTCTCTTCCGTTAATTTTTAATTGCGAGGTTCTGCTCATCACGGCGACGGGACCGCCATGTACGTGGACCGCGCGGCAGCGAGCAAAGGACTATAATCGTCTCCGCGTCTCGCAATTAGCCGCATCGCACTATTATTCCCATCGACGATTCCGGGCGCTCCCACGCTTTTCATTATGTCACGTCAAACCTTACCCTGGACATTGTTTCCGAAGGATCCTCCGAGCGCACGTACCAGGATAACAGTTTGTGCAACACTCGCGTTTCCAGATGCTTGACATTTAGCTAGATTTATATTTAGATTCGAATTTGTCTTGATCCGTGCAGCCCGTCAAGAGAACGGCATTTCGAGGAGTATATTACACACGAGATAAACCGAGGCATCATTTTCTCTCTCTCTCTCTCTCTCTCTCTCTCTCTCTGTGCGATTGAAAACGAGCGAAGCGAAAAGTGAAAGAGAGAACAACGTCATCAACGATGTTTCCGCATCTTCCGCAACTGCTTAATCGTACACCTCAAGAGAAGAAGGTCAAAATACCAGGTCTCTCCACTGCATTTTTCACCTTTTAAATTAGACATCTAATTAGATGACTTACATCAGAATTAATCCCGCTTGAAAATTTTGCGCGCGCGCAATACGAGGGAAAATTACAGGGTATCTCGCGTGTCCGAGAGATTCTCTCGCGACTACGCGAGAGGAGGAGCATTTAAAATCGCGCTCTCACGCTTGCCTTAAATCGCCACGCTGCTCCGGCCCGGCGACGCGGGGCCGAAGAGAGACACTCGCCGACGTAAGCCGATCATCCGCCGGAAATCGATATCAAACAAATCGCGTTGTTCGGCCAAAGACTTTCTCTGCCTCCTTGTATCGACGATGACGCCTCCCTCCCTTCCGCTTTAATGTTAAAGCCTCTGCAACTACGGCGTTATTGACGTTAGGGCGAGCGAGAGAGGCGCGCGCGCGCGCGGGGGAGGGCGGTGTTGGGTGCTCACCTTATCCGGCACCCACGCCGGATCGAATCGAATTCGTCGGCACGCGTCGGGTATCCGCGGAAGGTCACAGACGCCCGCGGCCCTATCCGACCTCTCTCTCTTAGTCCTGCCAGCACTCGCCTCTCTTTCTCGCTCTCTCTCTCTCTCCTTCTCGCTCCTCTCTTCTCTGTGTGTGTGTGTTCCCGTTTCCCCTTCCACCCGCTCTCCGGCCACTGTTCTGCCCCTACTTTGTCTATACGTTGCCTCTTTCATCCCCGGCTCGGTCGCTGCCGAGGGGGTAGCGCGCTTAAGCGCGATAAAGCGGCCGCGCTGCGCCGACGGCAGCATGATCGAACGCGAAAATCTTCAACGACAGCCGCCCAAATGAATGGAATGCCGACCCACGCCTGGCAGCCGTCTGATAGGCTGTCGTCCCCTCTGCAAGAGGGAGAGAGGGAAGGGGGTGGGGGAGGAGAGAGAAGGAGAAAGAGAGAGAGAGAGAGAGAGGACGATCGAGCGAACCCGAGCCGAGCCCGATGAACGGGTGAGCCGAGGACGGGGCTTCACGTAAACGCCGTGCGGCAAGGGCCAAGGCCGTATCACTCGATGGCACGTCCTCCCGCATGCTTCGCTTTAACCCTTTAGCCGCGAGCGCCGCACAATGCAACCGTGTACGCACGGTAAGAAGCGCGATTCAGTGAGCCGGCGATTCGGTCGTACGGTTATGCCCTCGATGTTGAAGATCGAGAATTGCTTTCCGACGAGATTCAATCGCCCGGATAGAGTGGCTTCGCCCAGTTTTTGGGTTTTTAGCTTTGGATACCATGTGATAACCGGCTTTCAAGCCGAGATTCCGTGAAGATGAGACTCGCGTAAAATTAGTCGAGGAGAACGGGGTTTCGTTATTTATTCGTGGCGCGCGCTGTGTGCGTGTATGTGTGTGATTCGTCGAAATCTCTTCCCGATAGAGCAGAAGTTATTCCGCGCGGAGTTTCGTCGTACGAAGAAACCGTTTCAGTTCCCGACTCCCGACGGTTTTCGTTCGTGTGTACGTTCGTGCACGCAACTAGAACGGAGAGCTCCGCGGTAACGGCGAGTAAAGTTCGAGCAGTCGATTACGGCCTGTCCATCGGAGTAACCTGTGACGTTATTGCACGCTTATTTCTAGAGAAATGATGATTCGCCGAGTGACATATCGCGTGATTGCGGTAGATCCGTATTAATAATCTGATGCGGCGCAGATAAACACAATCGAGGAAATATATCGAAAAGGAGATACTACTGCAAGTTATTATAAACATCTTCATCGTAGAAGACATCTCAAATACTGGTATCTTGTTCGTATGTGTATATATGTGCATATATGTGTGTGTGTATGTGTATGTGCGCATGCATGCAAAAATATCGATATGGTAATTCTTAAAGGCTTCGTGAAATATTTCGCGTGCAATATTATCGGCCTCTTTTTGAGTTTGCAACTGATACCGGCATTCTTTTCATTCCACCTCTGTGATTCAAACGAAAATCCCCCGTCTCCCTCTCGCTTTCCCATTTAATGTACTCCCGACTGCTATTGTTGCACTAATCATCACGATGCAATCTCGGCTCTTTAACAGCACCGCCTGCAGCCAATGCCGATGCAGAGGCCTACGTTGGGGTCGCATGCATGTGTACGTGCTTCCGTCGAGCGGTTGGGATTGATCCCGTGGGGTCATTGTTTTGTCATATATCTGGGAAATCGTTAGAGAGAGCGGTAGTACTACGTGTGTGTGCGCTGCATGGCTTAGGCGTACTACGCGAGGAAACGTCGATAGCATTATACAATCGCGTAGCACGCGATACGCCGTATTATCGATCGTCGACGATAAGAATTGAACGATTCGAGAGTGTAATCGTAATCGGCGATGACATCTCGCCCTCGATGGGCTCGAAAGATAACGTCTCACCGGGGTAAATACCGAATAGATATTAATTATTAATTATTAAATGCGGATCGACATCATCATATCTGCGCTATGAATGCGGACGAGTGTTAATTATACGCGCGCATGTACGTCGTAAAATCGATAAGCAAGGAGGAAAGTGGCGATATCGATCCGATTAAGAGTGAGAGAGAGAGAAAGAGGAGGGGAAGGGAGGGAGAGAGAGAGAGAGAGAGAGATGCAATCGGGCCGAGGAGAAACGAAACGTTCGACGACGGGGTGACGGGCTCGTCGGTGTCGGCCCTGCTGATGAGAAGCACGTGCACGCGAGTGTGCGTGCGTGTTGGAACGAGGCTCTTGCTCTCTCCCTCTCTCTCGCATGACTCGCGATAATACGCGCCCACGCACGCGTGAGAGAGCGAGCGTGTAGCGTGCGGCGCTCTCTGCTGCACTCCCCTTCCGCCGTTCCGCGGCTATGCAGCCGCACCGACCCCTTCAACGACGGCTCAGTCAGAACCGACCCCCGACCCATCCACTACCCACGCCTCGTTAATGAAAACATCTTTTGTCAATGAACTGACGTCAGCCCGCGCGGCGATTGGACGGCCGCGCTGGCTCACGTGACCGCTGGCGAATCGCGTCGCACGGCGATTCCGTTTCCCCCCTGCGCACAACGCGCCGAGCGCCGCTGTTCCATTCTCGACGAAGGGACACTCGAGGTAAGGTAAGGTGTGGCCTGTGTTGAGAGAGACTAGAGACGAGAGGAGAATCGTGACAGCGAAACGGACAGAAGGGACAGTGTGCGCGTGGAAGCGAGAGAGAGAGAGAGGACGGACGACGCGGGAGAAGGAAGGATAGTGTGATATGTGACGTACTTCGTGTCAGTGGAGGAGCCGCCATCCTTATCGCTGAAGAAGTTACGCCGACTTGCAACCGAGCCTCCTCGGAGCGATGCTGGAGGGATTCGTGAGGTGAGAGGATTCGGACGTTGAGATCGGGATCACCGCGGCAGAGAGGTCGTCGCGCGTCCGTACGAGCAGCGGAGACGGGACGCGCTCGGCCCAGCGCGTACGCGCTGCGAAGAGGCTACACTCTGAAGTTGGGAGCGCGTGCGGCTACTCGCGCGAGGGCGCGGAAGCGGCTGGCGGTGCGCGCGCGAACGAACGAGCGACGACGACGACGCGAAGGATGGAACCACCGTTGCTGGCGCGCCGTGACGGGGCGAGCTCGCGCGAGTTCCGTGTGCCGGGATAGAGCCGCGGCCGCCCTGCAGTTGGACATGCATCTCCCAAACGGCGAGCGTAAACATTCCACAGCCGTGCCGTTAATTGGACGCGTCGTCTTGATTCACGAAAGGATCGATAACCGGAACGAGCTGGCGGCGGCAACGGCAGCGGTGGCGGCGACGCTGACGGCGGTGAAGGCGGGGGCGACGGCGGTGGCCTCGGCAGCGGTGGCGGCGGCGGTAGCGGCGGCGGTGGTGGTGGTGGTGGTGGTGGTGGAGGAAGAGGAGGAGGAGGAGGCGGAGTAGACGCACAGAGCGCGCGGCGTAGTGTCGCAGGAAATGATGGCAACGCGTGAGAACTCGTCGGACCGCGCCGTCGACGGGTGAACGTCGCGCGCCCGCGATCTCGTCCCGGATGCCTCCTCCCGGGCAACGCGTACCGCCACTCAACTCAAAGTGCCATTTCGTCATATCCAGTAAATATTAATTGTAATAAGACGCTTGTAACGGACGCGTACGCACTCAGCACGGAGCGCGCGCGTTTTCTGTACATACACTCATCTACACACTCGGTTATACGACTTCGCGGAGGACGTGCGAGACGACGGCTTCCTCGATGCCGGCGAGCGAGCGCGGTTTCAACGCGTTGGGCGTGTTAGCCGTGGAATCGATGTATCGTGCGAGCCGCTGTCCGGGAGCTCCGTCGAGCGACGACCATTGGAATGATCATCGCGGAATGACGCCTTGACAAGAGCCGCCGTGTATCGCTCGTCGGTGGTGCCGTGTCCAGGAATGACAGAACTCCGATGCTGTAGAGGCTCAAGATTATCACGGTGAAAGAAACTCAGTGATTGCACATACCATTGCACTCAGAGCTGTCTCTCCAAGCGGCACAGCAGTGATTTGTTTGGGGGAGTACAGACCAGAAGGGATCTGAGAGGATACGTGCAACAGGAGTCAGGAGAAAGACACAATATGCCGGGTGGTGGTATGATGGAAGAGGACCTGCTTGGTCCGGAATGGCTGTTTAAAGAACTCAGATCACAGGAGGGTCCTAGCAAGCTTCTTATCTTAGACTGCAGAGCACATTCTGACTTTTCTGACGCTCACATAAGAGGCTCCGTACCTCTAGCCATACCCAGCATCATGCTGCGGAGATTGGCCGCTGGTAAGGTGGACCTTTTGTCCACGATAAGGTGTTTAGACCTGAGAAACAGAGTGGAGGTGTTTCTGTGCGGAGATGAAGGCAGTAGAGGAACATTTGTATTAATTGGTGATTCTACAGATCCTGCAGGCCATCAGGGTGAAACAATACAAGTTTTGAGTCGGAGACTTAGAAGCAGCGGAGGCAATGTTGCCATCTTAATTGGTGAGGAACAGATCATTTTAAGACACACCATAAGTGGATTTAGCGTAATCTACCTCATTAGAATTATCTGGTTCTCAGTTGGAAGAAACTATCAAAATCAAGGTAGAAAAAACTGTTAAATTTGCTTGAAACCAGAATATACCTTTAATTTTCTATTCTTCAAGATAATCAGTTGTGTATGAATATAAGTTTGGAAGCTGCATATGAATATATTTGATAATACTAGCATTCAAATTATTTCCAACTCATAATTAACCTAATCACTTTAGGAACCGTCTGTGTGATTAAATTGTTACTTTAGAAAAGGTTTCTAAATTTAATTATGAACCATCACACAATGTTTGCTAATTATAACTTTGCATCTATATTATTTTATTTTCACACATATGTGCAGGAAAATAGCAGTAGTAATAGTAGTATAGAATGGCTTTCAGAGGTAACAGCTGAAGCATAGAGACTGGTTGTGAATGAAATATTGATTTATGTGGGAGGCATTCCAGTAGAGAACCAGACACTTAATTCTATACCCTGCCTTTATCAGGCTTTAGATAACACTGCTCAGCCATTCAATGTTTTATTTGGCATAAGCAATTCACTGATTGCGTATGTATTAATACATTGAAACAAGGATAACCAATATTTCTCTCTCTCTCTCTCTTTCTCTCTCTGTGACTAGATATAGGAATATGAATGTTCTTTATTTGCATATATGCCATTTATTTTACGTTGTTTTTTTCCTGAGGAATAAAGCATTGTTTCTCCTTGTTTCAAAATAAAATGTTTTTTTTAAATTCTTTTTATTATATTCATGATATATATTTTAAAGAAATGTTATGAACATCTTCAGAAAATTATGACCAAAATTTAGGTCTATTTTAACTTGAAATGATAATTGTAAATAACTATTGCTTATATTATGTTGGTTTATAGGTGGATTTGGAGCATTCAGAGATAGATATCCAGAATGGTGTGAAGGTTGTCAAGCAAATACTGAATGTGCCCCAGGTCAGGACAATAATGATGGCGAATTAATGGGCCTTAGATCCCTTCGAATATCCACTCCACCAACCAGGTCCTATTCGGATTCTGATAGTGACAGCACATGCGATTCAGTAGGTGAGTAAATACTCGATATATTCTCATTTTATGATTAAAAAGAAATTTAATAAACAGTATAGTAGTAAACACCCACACACACACACACATGTGTATATATACATATATATATATATATCGATAAGAAGTGATATGCAATGCATTAACAATAATCGTGTGATATTTAAATTATACATCAACGTTAGTAAATTATTATGTTTATTCGTGTTTCAGGTCCCGAGGAAGATAAAGACTTTCCGGTGGAGATTTTACCTCATTTGTATCTCGGTAACGCGGCTAATAGCGAGGATCGCGAGGCTTTAGCGCGGCACAGGATACAGTATATACTCAATGTCACACCGGATTTGCCAAATGTATTTGAAAGCGCTGGTTCGATAAAGTACATGCAGATACCAATAAGCGATCATTGGAGTCAAAATTTAGCTAGTTTCTTCCCGCAGGCGATTCAATTTATAGGTGAGTAGCAGCATGACGACATGTGTTTCTTCTTGTTTTGCAAGATTGTGTATAGACTTAGAAAATATAAATATACTGGACACGTCACTGAACTTCGTCTAAAGATTTGCGACTTGATTTTATTTGTTATTTTTGAAACAAATTGCTTTTAGCGAGTGTGTTTGTGTATCGAGACGATACAGAACGTCGATCGCTCTCTCGCGGAACTAGCTGCGTGAAACGCGGCATATAATAGCGAACGTTTTCTGCGAATACAAAAAGAGATCCAGCCATTAATTGGCGTTTCGTACGTTTTTATTCGTACGTTTTTATTGTATCTTCAATGAATGTTTCGTCATCGCGCTTCTTCGCTTCCTGGAGTTCAACGTATTCCGTACATTCGTAATACGCGTTTATAACGTAAGCCGACTTCGTCATTCGCGATTTGAATAATGATTGACAGTAAGACTGTTAGACTGAGACTGTACGGATCTATTAGAAACACGCAATAATTAGATTATACGAATATTGAAGATTAAAAAGAAAAGTACAATTATTTATACAAAAGTGTCGGCGATGAGAAGATCTAATATCGGAAATTGAAAGCGATTATTTTGCCGGGCGTCAACAAAAGAGAATATTCTTTGTACAACCGGTTTACGGTTCGCCTCTCGTATTATCTTAACGCGTGTACATGAGAAACGGCAGAATGCGCGAATGACGTGAGCTTTATTTACCGGGCCGGAGCTTTTTCCGCATCAAAATCTCGGCGTGGACCGCTTCTCAAACAGGATTTCCTGTTTAAGAAAGTCCCCGCAGCCTCTGAAAGGGGCATTCTTATAAATAGGTTCGCCTAAATAGAAACTTTCCCACGTGGCGGGCAAGCCGCGCTAGACAATTAAACAACGGATGTCCGGTTAGGTCGAGAGCTATACTTAAGTCTGAATGGCGAGGCTTGGCATTGCTATTGGGCCGGTCTGGCACTTTTGACTGCCCCGACACATACGCTACACAGTTGGCAATCGATTTTCCTTTGTCCACGTCGTTCATACCGAATTTGAAACGACCCATGCATCATTTTCTTTGGCTTTTCGTCGCAATTTCCATTCAATTAATCTCTAATAGACCGGAACACACAACACGGTCAGCTCTGACACAGTTATTAATTAATGATGTTCCGTTTCTAATATTAACTAGATAACAGAGAGAGAGAGAGAGAGAGAGAGAGAGAGAGAGAGAGAGAGAGAGGGATACTACAAATAACGATGTTATATTTTAATTAATTTTCCCAATATAATTTTGATGGATGTAAACAAACCATATGCAACGTGTTTCAATACGTCGACATTTCGGTTATTATTTCCAACAATTGGCATGGAATCGTTCGGCATTGTGCGAACTTCGGCGAGCCGCTTTTAAAATGTGCTTCGCATCTCGTACGCCTCGTAATTTCGCCTTATCGAAGAGGAGGAAGAAAACGACGGTTTGCCGCGGCAGATGCAAGCATCAAATACTTTGTTTCTCCGAATCGAAGAACGTGGGATTGCCGTTACGATTGGCGTTACATTTTCCTTTTCCTTCTTTATCTTGCAGAGGAAGCGCGGAGCTCAGACAAAGGAGTGCTGGTTCACTGTCTGGCCGGGGTGTCTCGTTCCGTCACGATCACCGTGGCTTACCTCATGCACAAGTGCAGCCTCAGCCTGAACGACGCTTTTAATCTAGTGCGTAGCAGAAAATCCAACGTCGCTCCGAATTTCCACTTTATGGAGCAGTTGCATAGCTTCGAGCGGGAGTTGAGGGACCGCGGCGACCGGCACAAAGGCAACGATCAAAGGTGCATCGGATCCTGCCGGCCGGACGGGCCCTGCAACTGCCCGGCGCCCAGCTTCCTCAGTCCAATTGACCTGGGGCTCAGTCCCGACTCGGGGATAGAGTTCGATAGGTGGGCGTCGAGCACACCAGCCGAATGAGACGGGCCTGGGGGGACCCAATACAAGTTTTAGGTCCCTCCGCACACGCGTCACATTTTAGGGAAGCCCTGATCGAAAGGGTGCTCTCTCATGGGATATAAACGCGTTTTACATACTGGTACGTAAGAGACGAGCATCGAAGACCCCCGCCTGTCCCCCGCCTGTCCTGCCTCCCTCCTCCCTCCCGTTGTATTTCCAGGTTAGATTAGGATATATTAGAGGCGTTCGGTGAATACCAAGGAGAAATATGTAGCTCTTAGAGGCATCCAAAGTTAGTTAACTTACGCTCTGGCACCTTCCCTTTCGTGATTTTTCGTTTCTTCCTGTCGAGTCTCTCATTCCCTCGGCGCGGCCGTGTTGGCGGCCACGTTATCGGAGATACGCGAATTGTGAATGTTTACTTCAATTCTCGCTGATTTGTGTTCCGGTAAAGATTAGCTTCTAAAAGTGCGCGTGTGTGTGCCGGGGGCGATACGCGTTCGATACTCAAATCGTACTGTGCGTACGGAGATATGTGTGTGGCGGGGAATTTCTAAAATCATTTCTATGAGAGATATTGAGAACGAATTCTAGTGTACCTTATGTGATTAGTTGCTTGATGTAAATGTAAATGAGACCGAATGTGCGGACACCGTCGTCAAAATTTAGAGATAATTTAGGAATGAGAGGATTAACGCTCAGGAAAAAGAGAGGCATATATATCGCCGATTATAGAGACAGAGGAAGAACAAACAACTTATCTCTTCGTTAGACAATTAGCTTCTCAATGCACGCATGCGTTGAGTAACGCGCCGCGAGCTATTCCCGCGAGGCGCTTGTCTGTCCAGTTGAAATTCTCGATCACGAGGATGATCTGGCGCGTTACGATACGGCCGTCGCGAGCCAAAGGGAGAACAGATATGACTGTTGATTCGTTAACAAAAGGAAGAAAAGAGAGAGAGAAAAAAAAGGAAAAACAGACGAAGCAAACGATTCTCCTTTCTGAGTTGTCGTGGCAGCAATGGACACTGAAAGTATTTTATAAACGAGATCCCACAACTTGTCATCGCGCGCGACCGTAATCGCGTAATCGTAATTGTACATTCTGACGTTATGCTTCCAAGTCGAGAAATCTTTTAGCGTGTACGGTATAAATGGTATTCGAGGTACGTCGGATTCAGCACTGTGTACTCGCGAGGTATGACGAGGATGAAACGCGTACCGCCATACCTCAAAAGAGCTCTAGAACATATATATATATTTTAATACTTCTTCCCCCGAACCCTTCAATTAATGAGGCTGTGTTTATTTTACCGCAAGCGATATTTCATGCGCGAAGTAATCTCTAAACGACGAGTTCCCACCAGGCAATCACAAGTAGTCCAAGGTAAACATCACCGCTTAGTATACTAAGTTCCGAGGTACAAAATTAAGGGAGGTCCTATACGCACAGGGGACGGATTTAAGGTTTCACTACGCGGGCAGGACAATCCGAAAAATTTCTCCAACCCGTGGAGGATCGATCAGTACGTTAATCCGTTCATTAGTTCTCGCGTGATTTCTCGACCGGTAACATTTGTTGACCCCGTGCGAGCGTTTCATTTCGGAGGTTTTCCAATGCCAGACGCCAAAGCTCCGTTCGGCTGATCCTTAAATCCGCCCCTTGTCTTCTACCCTAAACTGATAGTTTGTAAAGAAGTGGAAAAGAAACTCGAAAGGTAATTTTCGACGTAGTTTTTCGAACACACTGAAGTGACTTATCTCGCCAAGGATAATCTTCAATGCATTCTGACCTTCGAGATGCGCGAAAGGTATATGCACGTCGCCTCAGGTACATATGCCAGTAAACTTAAGTTTAAGGGAGGGCACCTTAGGAATCAGTGCATTTCTGTAGGGCATTCCGAATCTCTCCCGCTCACGAGAAGCCAGGCTCGTCATCGGTACAGTGGAGTGTTTAGGGAAATTTATGTCCGAGCCGCTCGGAATAGATAGATGAAGGCGTTATTTTGCGATTTCACTCGTCAAAGGAGTCGGAACAACTCGCGAGGAATCAGTTCACATGCTGCAACACGCGTATTGTAAACAAACGTGCCGACTTTTCAAGGATCTCGTTCGTAAGAACGATTTTTAACATCGGTGGTACATGTTATTACAATCTTTAGTAATTCTGTTTTGAATGTAATTGGTGTTTTCCGCGAAATAACCAAAGTGTCCATACAATACTCGCCCTTTCAAGTTCTTTCTAACGAAGATTAATAACGAATGTTTCCGTGCGTTTCGAGCGAATGTACAAAGGAAAGTTTTATCACTGTTAAAGTAACGCCTTCAAATATCGTCAAATTGGTTTTGTTGTCAATCATCGCCACATACAGAAATCTGAAAGATAATGGTTCCTGCACCGTTACATTTCTGCTGGCATCAGAGCAACTTTAGTCCTTCGGATTTTTTATATAGACACTTTTCTACACGAAAACATCGGGCCTGTGCATTCGTATGTAAACGCAACTAGCTGTATACTGCGTGACAACTCGAGCGCTAAATTGGATTCTGAATTGTACGAATCAGCACTGTTTCTATTATCTTACAGATCTCAGATATATATTGAAAGTTATTTTTGTAAAGAAAAGAAAAGAAGAAGAAATGCATTCACATTCCCATAAATGAGCCAAAATGGCCTGACACTGTAACTACCTTTCATGTAATACATGTATTGTTCATTGAGCATAATTGAAGGTTAATATGAGTGTATACAGTGAATGTTATTTTTCGTGTAATAATTAACTGCAAGAGTTGCAGTAATTGTATAGCTCTTGACTATCGCGGGAGTAAATCGATATACAACTAAGGAAATATATATTTGACGTTAATGTAATAACAATATTCTACTATATATTACACTGTTGTCTGTTGTATGTTTACTGGGCAGCGACGCCCGAGAAATTTAATCAAATATTATGTATATTGCATAAATTATTATTTTATATTCATCGTTGTATATATATTTTAATTTTTTTTTTTCCATTAGAAATACACACAACTTATCTTACCTGAACTACAAGTAATCGATTGTCATTTATAAGCAGGTTTACATTCCACGCAGGTAATTCTCGTCTTTTCTTTCTGATAATTCGTTCGAAGAGTTGCGTAAAATAAAATACGCATGTTACGTGCGCATTGTGCGTATGCCATCATGAGATAGTAATGATTCGTTTAAGTTTCTGTCATCTCGATGTGCGTAAGAGACGTTTGAATTTTTGTTCTTGCATATTTTTATAGCATTAATCGACATTCTTTATTTTTGTATGCTCTGATGTGAAATCGATTACGGAATTTGGAATGTAAGGAGTCTCTTCCTCGATAATTTTATTACCGCTATATACATTATAAAATATATATATGTATCTGGAAGCAACAGATTCGTTCTGTTAGGAAACATTTACGCATGCATTACAAAATGAAATTAAAAGATACGTGAAATAAGTGAACGCATATCATTTCTGAACTCTGAACAGTCAATATGTATGTCAAGTGACGTTTGCGCGAAGCGTTGCTTTACTTTTTACTCGGTTGTAATGATTAATGGAATAAGCGCAAATAAATTGTTAAGATATTGAAAATTTTACTTGCACAAGTTTAATCTCAATAAATTACTGCGGACTCGAAAAATGAGATGTTCAATCTTGTAGAAATATATATGAAACAATCTTAAAACTCTCATTATACTTCGACGTTATACTTCGACCATGTTTCTTTTTTTCTTTGCAAATGTATACTATGATTGTTGCAATAATTAATTGTTATTTAAGTCTTTACGTCTTTGTGGGGATATCTTACAATTCTACGGAGGAGCGGTCCAAATGATCAGCGTTAATTGTATCAAAAAATGTCTTTTTATTGTTTACTGTATTTTATGATTGAGCAACCGAACTGCAAAAGATGCATACATATGAAAACTTATGTTACCTTACGCTTCTGTGATCGCGTTCACCAAGTATATTAGTGCGTGCTAGAATCTGTTTTTATTTTTCATGGGATAAATCATTTTTATTAATTACACTCTTAAACTCGCTTTCTTATTTAGAGTTACCTCTCGTAATGGTTTTATCAGCATCGTATCACTCGCAAGTGTACATTAAGTAATCAAATCGATAATTTGTTTGGAACAGTTTGCCACTTTTTTGGACGCACTAAGGTCGGTCGCACTTTCAGACAGAGTTCTGAGAATGCTCAAGGCGTTTTCGAACCGTCGCATAGCGCTAATCAATTCATTACGATCATCCGGATCTGGTGTAGCAGCCAATAACGTTCCCAGTCCAACTAGAGCTCTGAATATCGCCTCAGATTCGCTCAAACGGGGCAATACGGTGGTAACCAATACATTCAGAGCTCTCGTTCTACCAGGCGTATCATTATACTTATTTAATGCTATGATCAGATTCAATATATACGTCGATATTGCAACCTGGAAAAAATATCTCATTTTGGAGATCGCGTTCTCTCTCTCACTCTCTCTCAGTTTTTATATCGTACAATGTTACTTTATACAAAAATGCATAAAAACTATATTTTAGATTGTATTTTAGATTGTTTATTTTAGATTGTAGATTTGCTTTCGAATTGTTCTTTTTATGACTAGTTCTCTCCCGACTAAAACAACTTCAGATTTTCAATAATGCTATATAATATCGGTATTTTTTCCATATGGCAAGTTTTTTTATGCTACAGAGTTTGGGAAGTAGAATATAAAAAATATGAAAATTTCTCACACATACGGTGTATATGTGTGTGACGTTAATCACGTAAATATAAAAATGTATCTCGTTTTTCAATATCATGCACTTAAACGATTATTTTAATAATTGTTCGGTGACATACCTGATTATTTTTATTTCCGAAGGACTGTAGACTCAGCAAAGATCCGAGCATCTCATCTTTATTATCCAGGCAAAGTTTTTCCCCCTTTTCGTATTGGAACATATTAGCCAACAGTCGGAAGGTGAGCATTTGATTTGACGAGGTTGCGTCGGACTTGACGTGTCTTCGTATAATTGGTAGCAATTCTTCCGTGCACAATTGATCGTTCACCTCTTTATGAAGTACGGTGAGCCTTGCTATATCAAGAGCCGGGAATACTATGTCGTTCGGCCAATTTAGGAGGCTTTTCAGCGTGCTGATAGCATTGATCCTAACTTCTTCGGACACTCCGTCGCTCGTGAGTTTACCCACTGCTTCCAACTTTTCTTCTGGTATTTTATACATACTTTCTTGCTTGGTGTTTAGCTCACGTAATTTATCTGCAATGACATCGAAAGAGTGTCAATACATTTAATCGTCCTCGCATTTCAGTGTGTTTAATAATTATCTCGGAGAATATTTCAATTACCGAAAATGGCAGACAGATTCGCCTGTTCTAACTTCAGGTATTTTAAGTGAGGTATGTAAGAAGGACATATGGACGTGTTGGAAGAAGTAAATGTCGGTGGTGGTACAGTAATATCGGGTGTACTAGACGATGTTCCTGATCCAGGAACGTATCTGCTCCCTCCTGTAAAAGGATCTACAAACTGTGATCCGGTATTCAAGACTGGAGTCGGCTCAGAATTCTTTACTATAAAATTTGCAACCTGAAGCGAAGTACGTAAGTCAATTCCGGTTTGTACTTTCTCCTCGAATTTATCGTCTTGCAATTGGAGTTACTTCAATAAACGAAAAACAAAATGCCTGAGGCAATTATCTTTCGTCAAATACAAAACACCGTACGAACGCTGAAATCGATGCTTCTCACGGACTTTCCATACCTGATCTAAGAACAATTGACTGAGATTATTGTCGTGCAGGAACTTTTGTGCAGCGTGCCAGGGATCCTGACCCTTATTATATGGAAGCTTCAACGGTGGCACGCCGTCTTGTATGTCGACCGAGAATACGTAATCGTATTCTATGCCATTGTAAAGCTGTTTTCCAGAGGTAGCCGCGGTGCTACCGGACGCACCCATCACATCACCGATTCGTATCCACCGTTGCTCATTCTGCGACCAACTGTACGCCCTGACTACATCCCCTTCGTTCACGATCTTTGTCTGTCCGTCACGTTGACCGGGCTGTAGAAGAACTCTTGAATCCGGCAAACTGTTAACAACGCAAATCAAATTCAATATACAATGTATAAGTGTAGAGAAATCTATTGTGTTTGGTCTAAATAGCATACTCACTCTCTTACGTTCATGTCTCCGATTACCTGCTGCGCATTCAGAATGGTATTTGCCACTTCTTTCTCAAATGCTTCCAGTATCTCCATGTTCGCGTGTCGCTCGGGATTGGACGAGAATATTCTCAGGATGCCGTCGGAACTGCCGGCAATTATGTCGCCGTTCGAGAATAAATCAATACACCATATCGACTGCGTGGGCAAAACAATTGTTTGACTTATTTCCGCATTGTGCCATACTCTGAGAGTCCTGTCTTCGCTGGACGAAAAGACGTACGTGCCATTCATGGTGGCTGATATGCTGTAAATATAATTTTCATGGCCACAATAAGTGCCCAAACAAGTTCCAAGCTTGGCGTTCCAATGCCTTATGGTGGCGTCGTTTGCACAAGTTATAAATTCATCCTCTTTGATGTCAGTTATGTCACGGACGCAGTCAGTGTGTCCTGTTAACTTGTGCTGTACAACACCATCTCTGTTCCATACTATAACCAGCTTGTCGGCTGATCCAGTTATTATATTACCGTTTGACAAGTCAGCTACACACCATACTGCAGCTGTATGACCCACAAGATTCAATTGTGGCTTACTCAGATCTTTCATGTCCCATAATTTTGCTGTCAGGTCCCACGAACTGGAGAGAAACGTATTTTCCTTTTTACCGGTTCTCAAATTACACACGGTATTCTGATGTGCTGTTATCGTATGCATAGGCACTGTCTCGTTCGCCACATAGATACATATAGTATTGTCATTGCTGCCGGTTATGATGTAACCGTTGGGACTTGTCTCTGAAGGATTTATTACACACACTGCACTGACAAAGTTAGTGTGGCCTTTGAGTACCACACTTTGCACATATTCGGTCCCCTTCCTGCAAGAAATTCCAAATATTAATAAAAATATTCTCGCTACATTACAGGAATTCCTTAATAAAGTTAAGAAATGTCTTTTAGTATTCAGTATTTCGTTGAGAATTCTGTTCCTTGAGAATGGTTTATAATATAGAGCATCTCGCCAATGAAAAATAACTATATCGAGTATAATTTTTCGAGAACGTTCTTGTCATCTAATAAACGTAAGTTCTTGTTATCTAATAAATGTGGAGTTAGAAGCAGTTTCAAATACATTTTTCTTAGAATCTCACTCTCAGAGAGCAAGCTTGAGTGTGTTCTGATGTGCACTTAGCCTCTTTCACCACATACACCGATAGGAGAAAGGATAGAACTCGAGAGTAGTGAAATCAAATGATCGAGAGCAATGCAAGGACAGGCTGTGAAGATGAGATGACGCGAATTTTTGTGTGCGCGATCGCGTTTGCGATCAAGAACCAACCCGCTCGGTTTCCATACGCGGGCGGTCTTGTCCCGGGAGACCGACACGACGGTGCCGTCCATGAATGTTGCCACCGCTCTCACGTCCGCGGTATGTCCGAGCAACACAGTGCTCAGCTTGTATGGCGGCGGCTTGGCCATCGTCAACGCGGCCTCGTCTCGTTCAACGACAACCCCAAGTACGTCAACTTCGCGCGATTACGCGATTCACGCCCCGCATAAATCTCACCACACGCTCCTGCGCCGCGATGACAGACGCAATCCGAACCGCGCACGCGCCATGCGCTTCATGTTATTCTGACATTCGGCTGTGTCACGCATGAAGTTGGGCATTTCCGGGTCGGATGTCCGTCTAGCTGCACTCTATCGGATTTTCTGCGTTCCAAATAAATTAGATACACTCGAGATGTGATTGAAGTGAATATTTATTAATTAAGATTGAAGTAAAAGTAATTGGGACTTGACGATAGAAGGAGTGTGAGAGAGAAAAATTATACACCAAAGTACCGAAAGTGCAGATAAAACGAATATATATACGTTTATGCATCATGATTACCGCGCTTATAACCCAAAATTATTGTTTTTTGATTAATTTAATACTGTATAACTTGTTATTTTATTTGCTTTCCAATGTTACATTTAATCTTTCATGCGCACGACGTTTGTAGTTATTAGAACTGCCCTACGCATGCGCAGTCGTTATCTTCATCGCTCACAGTGTCGCGACCATTCGAAATCGTTTCGCGTTCTTTCGTGCTTTCGTACGAAAGTTTACCTCGCGTGTGCAGAAAAGTACGTCCGGAACGGCGAATGAAGAATCGCACGATATCGGCGATACCGGAAAGGACTTGTTACTATAATATATCCCTGTTCAGTAAGTTATTCTTCGCAAGCAAGTTTAACGAACACGCTGTGTCCATTGAGAGGTTGGAATGAACTTGCCGCGTCGTGTCGTTCTGCTTCTCATTCATTCAACGATCTATCGCGCGGGAATGAAAAGTAACATCGGACGATCGATGCAAACGCAATTGCATGACGATAAAACGCGCAATTATGCGACTTGCGCCGCAATGACGAACGTGCATCGGCGTGAAATTGTCAGCGCGTCATTTTCTTTTATCCTTGTTTAGAAAAGTATCGCGCGTGAAGTGAATATCGAGAGCATCCGATGCAATCAGCCAATCAGCTCCTTCTGAACGTGTCGAGCAACTGTGAGCCATTTTTGAAAATAGTGAAACTTTCGCATCATGGCGGTTCGGGCGTTGGTGCGAAATCGCGTTCGTCCCGTTTTCTCCTTCGTTCGAGGACGTGTCGTGCGCGAAGTGAATACCGGGAATGTCGAATCCGGTGTCAGGTGATCGGTACGAACTGCAGATGCTCGAAGATGAACCGCTTCCGACGATACGCGACTTGCGTCGCGACGGTTTCGAGATCGGCGTGAAATCGCCGTCGCGTTCGTTCGAAAACGGTATCGTGAGTGAAATGAATATCGGGAGTGCCGGATTCAATGTCGGGCGATCAGATAATTACAAATACGTAATCTTGAGTCACTTTTATATATTGTGCGACTTGCAAAATGATAGTTCGGGTATTGGCGCGAAATCGTCGTCGCGTTCGTCCCGTATTTTATTCGATCTGAAATGTATCGTGCTCGAAATGAATGTCGGATATGTTGAATTCAGTGTAGGACGATCGATATAAATGTGTGTAGTGAAGTGTTTCAAAAGTATGCGATTATCGTCACGATGAGTCGGATGTCGGAACCAGAACGATGTCGTAGGAGACGCGGGACGAAGTGTCGAGCGAATTATCCTCATCGGTTTATTAATTAAAGTAAGTGGTAGTATGAGATGTTCATTCATGATATTCGACTTGTGAGAAATATTTACGAATGTTCTACTCCCCCCTTCCCCCCTACCCCTTGAGCAGACAAAATCCTCCTGGAACTCTTAACTTTCTGAAAAATGAGTAGAATACAATTTGATATTTACATGAGGTTTTTTGTATTAAACTTTTACACTCAACAAATTAACTTTATAAGATACATACGTCTCTTATATATCTCTTTGCTTAACTTTATGGTATTTAACGACTAAATAGTCATCACATAATAAATACAATTGCGAAAAATGCGTCTATATAAGGCAGGAAAGAACTTAACACAAATAAAATTACTATATTGCATCGCATATACAGATGCAAGAAATAATATGTTGATAAGCGCGACTGCGTGGGCACACCTTCGCTCGCAGTTAAACAGTTAAGATTAATACTAGTAATAATTTGCCCTAAGTACTTCAAAACGGTAACTCTACGACTAATAACTTTCTCTGAGAGCACTCGACACAATTGACAAGTGGCAAAATCGCACTGAGTCGCCGGAATTTGCGGATATCTGAATTATGCATATACAAATGTATATACAGGGTGGACCAAAAGTCTGGATACAATCGAATATCTCGTAAGCGATGCAATTTTGAAAAAAATGTTTTAGATAAAAGTTGATCAGTAAATAGATCTTTTTAAATCCTATAACTTATTATTTAAAACATTTTTGTTTTTTCAAAATTGTTTTGTTTACGAGATATTCGACTGTATTCAGATTTTTGGTCTATCTTGTACAATTTATTATACAAAATGTGATTCTCTCATAAAATAGGGAATCAATGACAGAGATGTCTATTTGTGAAAATTTAATAAGAATCTTAATTAGGAAAATATTTAATGCTACTTAATATCGCGATGAATGTCTTAAAGAGTTAAATTTTGAGAAATACGAAATTTGTTCTACTTCGATTAATTAGAAAATAGATTTTATCTTAATAAGAATTGACGTGATCTGATGCATACACCACAGTTGCTACTTTATAATACTAATACTAATAAATAATACTTAACTTTTTTAAAGTAGCTAGAACAAATAACGGTTTTCGTTAAAAAAAAATGTCCACTATGGAAATATACTAAATTTATCCGAAAGTATACTATTGATTAATTCCCAATTTTACGAGATACATTGTGTATAATACATACTATGGATATTCATCTCCTTATTAACATACCATAGATATTCATTTTCTTATGAACAGAATACTTTAAGAATTATTCTAAAAAGCAGATCTTAACAAAACTGTCAACAATGAAAAAGCCCCTCTTCAGGAAGGGGGAAGAGAAGAAGGGGATATAAAGCGCGTTTTCGATAAAGCTGCCGACATTTCCTCTTCTGCAATGTGTCAATCACGTAGGTTCTTAATTTAAAACTAGATTAAGCGTGTTGGATAATTTAGTGTAATGCTACGACTTACTCTTTCTCTCTCTATTATAGAATAATCTAAATTTTCATATCAATATTGGCATAGGAATTATCATATTCCTTGCACATCAAAGATAGTCGGACGACCTTTAACACGAAGTAAACTCCATACGAATAGAACTAATCAACTTTTTGAATCTGTTGTTATATATATTCCATTTACTTTCTATTTACATACATGCACACACCGTGACATAGATTTCATTTTATAAAAGTTCCTTACCAAAAACGATATGTACAAGGTGTTTCACTTTTACCACATTATTTTATAATAGCAGATTCCTTGGACAATTTGGAGAGGATTTTTTTTAGCGAAAATGTCGAAGTAGTTAATAGTTTTTCGCAGTTATTCAATTTTTTACATTCCATACGTTTGTAACAAAATTTCCAATTAAAATTTTATTAAAACATTTTACCAGAAATTAACTGAAGAATGTAGAAAGTCTTTCTTCTTCGTTCTGTATAATTCACAGATTATCGGTGCCTCAATATTTTCACTAAGTTCAACTTCACATTAGTCAAAGAATTTGTCATTAAAAAATAATACGGTAAGAGACGGACACTCTGTACATATAATGTACGTGTATATTCCGCGCGATCAAAAGCGCAGCTCGAATCAATCTTCACATAGGGAGAATTTTCTCGCATTTTGTGCTGTTGCAAAATTCATTCATCAGTTTTCACTTCTAAGTACTGATAAACGACTTCTTTTTTTCGTTCGTTAACTCTAGAAGTCTAAATACTCTGAAATGCAGCACAGAATCTTACAAAAAAATTACCACGATTCAATTTTATCTCAGTCACGATGTAGCAACAATTCAATATCTGAGAATTACGGTAACAGAAATCATCTTACGGCCGTGGAAGTAAGAGGAAGATAATAAAAATAACGTCGCGTATTCGTGTATATAATCTCACTCTTACTTCTAAGTCATGGAACGATATTGGTGAAATGAGCTTCAATGAAACAAAGGACGCGAAACCGCGACTTCTAGGATTTACGATGCATCGGGGAAAGTGTATCGGAGTTAGTTAATGTTGAGTTCGTCGTCGATCTGAGGTCTACCATACGGCGCACTTTTTCGTGGGATTCATTTTAGAGCCGAGAGGACAGTTAAAGTCTTGTGCAAATGCCTCCATGTTCGACAACGGTCCTAGAACGCGGAACTCGCTGGGGCTGTGATATCCAGTTGTAATGCGCAGCTTCATCGCTTCCGGTCGGTACTTGCTGCACCACGTGTTGGCGGCGCTTATCCAGAACATTTGCTTTGGACTGTAGGGCAAGCCTGGTAGTTTCGGTTCATGTCCGTTTCGTTTGACCCATTCATTGTATGCGAGATAGGCTTCTTTTATACCGCCATTGTCAGCAATATTTTCACCTTGAGTGTTTATTCCGTTTAACTAAAAATAGATGAAGTAATGTAGATTAATGGCAAAATTTTTATTCATGAGAGGGAGAGAGGAATTATTACGATATAAGATATTTTTATGCATTTATATGCTTGTGTGTGTATAAAGAATTGTCATTTCACATAAAAAAAATTCATTTCTTCTTTTCGCTACGAGTTGCCGTAGAGACGTTCTAGAGATACTGTGTATTTTATGATCCATTGCTCTTGAGTAGTTATATGCTGTGTGGTTAAGAAAGAGATATTTTATGCACGAGTATGACCTCGTTGAGACCTCGTTGAGAAAGTTCACTTATCGTCGTAACTTGATACTCTTATCGCACGTGAATATTCCATTATAGCATTCGTGCAGTATATCATGGCACGTAATGAATTGACTTCAATGGGAATTATTCTTGCGATTATACAGTACGTGCTTTTATATAGCGAATACAGCACAAAAATAGTAGGGAATAAAGTAAAAAAAATAGAATAATAAAGAATGACAATTTCCTTTCGTAATCGCTAATCATTAAAATAATAAATTAATGATTCACAAAACAATTCGTATAATGCAAATTAGTCTCGTTCGTGTCTTTTTAGTATATTTTTGTAATTTTTCAATTTCCATATTAAAAGTTTAGGAGAAATTTCATATAGCAAGGTGAATGAAAGTAACTAAGCAACGAAAATATATATATATGATTCGTCTTACGTTCATTCCAACGTCCTTTACGGTGTAATTTCCATACTGGTAAATTATACACTCGGCCCTCTTGAGATATTGCTCCTTCGTCTCTGGTTCCCACCAGTCGACGAGATTACCTTCCTTGTTGAACTGCCTGCCTTGATCGTCGAAACCATGGGTAATCTCATGGCCAATGACAAAACCGATAGCACCGTAGTTCATATAGCGTGGCCGATCGTTACTGAAGAATGCGCCTTGCAAGATACCCGCGGGAAATTCTGAAACAACAAATTTGCACATCGTAAAATATTCAACATCTAATCAACATTAAAAAGAATCCTTTAATTCTTCGATTAAGAGTTGGCAAATATAAATTTGGAATATCCCAGTGAGAAATGAACATTGTATCGATGTCAAATTGACGTCAAATCGACGTCGAAACAAAATCAAAATTACATCGAATCGACGTCGAGTCGATGAGTCATTTTTTGCTGGATATAAATATAAAATTCAAGAATTCCATCCTTTTTTAATGCATTTTAATACTTAAAAAATACTTACGGATACTATTTTCGATCGACGAGTAGTAAGCGTTTACAACAGCCGGCCTTCCGTGAGATATCCATTCGGTTTTGTTTACCGGTTGTCTTAATCTACCGAAGGAAAAGTCTGTTCCAAAGATCGTTAGGTTCAAAATACTCCCCAGATAATCGTCGGAATTCAATTCTAGTCCAGCGTAAAACTCTTCTAGCTTCTTATCATCTAGTAGCTCATCTGGATAAGCAATATGTGACACCATGCTGGCTGCTTTGTCTAAAGCGTTCGCTCTCGTTTTCTCATCCATCCATTCCACCTAAAAATACGCGCAATTTCGTCGAAAAATCGATGAAAGTTGTAAAATACACACACATACAATGTACCAGGAATGTCTAAAATTGATAAAAATTGTAGAAAGAGTCAAGACATTCATTCTTTTAAGATTTTAATTTGTCGATAAGAGACGTTGAGAATTCCGTTCTCAAGACTTCGCAGATGGAAGGAACGTCTTTGCACGCGCGCGCAAGTGATTTTCTATTTCCAAGATTTCAATTTCTAGATAAGGAGACACCGAAACGACCAATCTCACGATTTCAACTTTTAGGTTTCACGCATCCTTACCTTCTTCAGGATCTTCGTGAACTCCTCCCTGATATCGCTGACCATCTCTAGCGCGGTCTTCTTCGCGTCTTCCTTGAAGTACTTTCTTACGTACATTGAGCCGACACTGATTGCCATACTACCGGACACGATATCAACGCACTCTTTCCATCTCGGCTCTCTTTCCGTTTTACCGTTCAAGTGGATCGTATACATCAGTTGTCTCTTCCGGATGTCGTCTGTGAGATAGCTAACCGATGCAGCAGCCGCTCGCCAAAACGCATAATTCGCTTGCACTCTCTTCGGTGTATGCTGGATCAGTTTCTCGAAATTCTTCAGGTAGCTGGGTACGTTCACGATGATCATCTCGTCCTGATTTACATGCGCTTGCGGCGCGAGAATGGTATTGAAGTATTCCCTCCATGGTATGCTGGGGTAAGCTTGGGACATCTCATTTACGGTCATGGGATTGTACAGGAGGGTCACATTCCGTCGTTTCTCGTTAGGCAGGGAGATCTGTGTGCATATTGGTTCTATCAATTAATTCGGATAAACTTCAATTGATGCCAATTACGCCGGAGATTAAGATTTTCTTTAATGGATGATAGATCTAATTGGGTGCGAAAAAGTTGCATCTTTATAATACTATACTTCAATAATACTATGCAAAAACTACGTTTTATTTTCGATTTTCTTCAATTTATTTTTTCTATTTTTCCCATCTTCTGATTAAATAATTATAAATTAAATTTTATCCTCTTCGGAATGGAAAAAAAGAAACATTTGTAACGAATATTACGTTCCTTCTTTCATTAAGATTTCATCCCGACATGAATTATTATTATTTATTATTATATAGTTATTATTATTTTATTATAATGACTTACGTTCGCGAGCTTGATCTCAAATTCAAGGGATTCCTTCAATTCTTTTTTGGCTCGCTCCGGTTCGGCACCGAGAATCACGGCTATGTCTACCATGTACTTATAATATTCCTGAACGATTTTCTCGTCCATGCCTTTCGTCAGATATTCGCGTGAGAGGCCGAGGGCTGCTTGGTCAAGCTGTGAATGTCAATTGAATATTCGAGTTTGTCGATGCAAACATCATATACTCGGCTTAAAACAAAAGTCTATAATTTACAGAGTTCATTTTATATACAGTTTTGCATTTATAAATTATAGTCTTTGTTCGCTTTTGTTCGAGGCTCTCTCGTTTAGGATTTATTAGTAGCAACGTACGTCGATCAAACGCCTCGAATTGTTCTTCAAATCGACGCTGACACCGAAGTCGATGAAATAATCGACAGAGTAGCCCAGTCTGCGGAATTTGTAGACGAAATCTTTCCACGTGAAGTCGCCGTCGTTCCATCGCTCGCCATCCAGAACAGGCCAGCCACCGAGTTTCCTCAGATTATCGTGCAACGGTTGTAAGCCTCGCTTTTCGATATTGGCTGGAAGAAAGAGTGAATGTACAGTCGGTTGCGAAAGTGTTTTCCGATTTAATACCCGACTGTCAGTTCCGTAAACATTAAAAGGATCTCTCGACCGGGCTTCAACATCGCTTATGAATTTATAAAACAAAATCTCTACGGGTATTGTTTCGCGATTATGCAAGATGAGCATTGCAATAGATCTTGTCAGACTTTAAACGCTTTCCTATCAATGCTCCTCCCCCTCTCATAGATCCGTTGAAAATAATTTAATTTTTAATGATAGCTACATCGAATCTACTTCTATTCGCAATCTTACAGTTTTAGAATGTCTTCTTTACAAATCGTAAATATATACGGAGAAAAATGTTAGAACTGACTAACATGACAATGAACAAATAAAATGCATTTTGGTTGAAAAAATACAATTTCTGGTTCTTCTGGATCAAATTCGGCTCTCATAACCAGAAATTCTGTTTCTTTCAACCAAAACGTGTTTAGTTCATTTATTGTCATGTTAATTTAACTAACTGTTTTTTTCGTGCATTAAAGAATAATAACAATAGCTTCGTAAAATTTGGTTTAATTTCAAACGTAATTTCTCATTTCGTTGGATAAGTCTGTCGTGTTTTACGAATGTGGTCGCAGTACACGCAAAGATCGTCATGTGACTGCTTACTTTTGTTCATGCAAGCCTTGTAGAAGTCTTTGGCGAGCTTAAATGGCCTCGGCTCATTTGGGAGACTTTCCTGTTCGATACGGGATCGCAGTTGTTCCTCAAGGATATCGACGATGATGGAGAATGTATTGACGCTGGTTTTGTCGTCGGGAATTACCGTAGTGTCGAGGAAGCCGCCGCAGGCGAACTTATAAAAGTCATCGCACGGCTCCACGTCGGAGTTCATGTTTTTCAGTATCTGCGAGGCTGTGTTGCGTGTGAATTACGTCGAATAGATTAGTATAATTGGTTATCTTCTTTCTCTCTCAGAACGAGATTACTTATCCTTCGCATGTCGCGAGATTAACTTAATGCGTATGAAAATTCGAATATCTGAAGTTTGTATTTTGGCGAAGTATCTTTGAGAAGTAAACATTATTTCACAGTCAATGACTGCGTATTCTTCTTAACAGTAAACTCGTAAAATTGGTTTTAATTGAGGAAAATGCGAGAAATCCGAGTGAAGTTATTTGTTTCAATTTCTCCGAACAAATCTGGAGTGAATTAAAACAAAAATATTTCGTACGCAATGAGCTTTGGGCTTTATTTTTTTGTAATAGAAATTTTTTTTGTTCCAATATAACTATGTGTTATCGTAGCGTAGAATCTTGACTAATCTTTATAAATAAATTAAAAAAAAATTTCTACATGTGTCAGTTTTGCATCAAAAGACAGTTTGAAGTAGAAATGTATCCTAAAACTGCTAATCCTCTTTATTGGAAGATATCAAATCATATTACGATTTTTATGTTTAAATCTACTGACCTGTTGAAACACATCCTGGTGTCAAGCAGATTTCGTTGCATTCCGGACTTTTCTCTACGGTTTGGATGTGCTTCGATATTATCGAGCCGCTTAACGCCTCGGCTGTGGATGGTAGCATCTCTGCATTAACGGGTTCTGTTCTCGTGCAGGTGCAGGTGCGATTGCAAGTGCGGGAAAAAACAAGTGCGCAATAGCGATAAATTAGTGAGTGCGAAGCATAAGCTCTCTACGATAAAAACTTGCACACGTAGCAAATTCAATACTATCTCTCATTCAAACGGCCAGCAATACGCTGCGTTTATATTTCCGCGCGATTAGACTGCCGACGTTTTCTCTTCGTCTGAAATATGATCTGTCGAAATTTAATCTCATTCTCTTATTCGTATGCTAATTCAATGTAACAATAAAATTTGACATTTTCTTGAGTCCCTCTCATGAGTTTGATTAATTGCTTCCAATGTACTCGCGTGAACGTCGCGCGCCGTTTCATCTATTATTACTCATCGTCGGGACGTGTATATAATCACCACGTGTTCTCGTGGTAAAAGGCAGGTTTACGTCGAATCATCACACGTTGTTTTCGTATCGCCTGGTTTCTTTTAGAGATTTCCTGAAAATATCTCGGATGCGTCAGACGGTCAATGTTTTTGTGTAAAGTCATTTCGACGCCGATCGGAGTATTCGCGCGACGGGGGTGCAAGCATTGTAAACCGGTGGGAACTGACGTGTAACCGTCTATCGCTCCGTTGTAAACACTAAAACGTGTGGCGGCTGAGTAATTCTCAAAACGTTTGTCCAGTAAGAATATCCAAGTGCGTCAGATTCGCATTCGCGTTGACGCCACTTCGAAACATACGTCATGATTCTGTCGCTACTTTTTTAGGCAGCCTTGCCCCCTCTCGTTCAATTCTCTAAAGTATCTTGTCTTTTAACAAAACACTCTTACACTGATAATCGAGTGACAACTGACATCGTGAAATTTTTTAACTGAACTGAATAATAATTTTAATTTTTAATGCTGACTTTAATATTTTCCCGATAAATTAAAACTTTTAAAAATCATAATCGGATTCAGCAGCTCAAAAACTACAAAAAACTATTTTACTATTTTACTTGCCACTTCGAGGGTCAAAATCGACCCATTTTACCCATCGTCATCTATTAAAGAAAAATACAAATTATTTTAAAATTTTTAAGCAAATTTTCTGCTTTTTTTCATTTTTGAAAAGTTTGATCATCCTACCGCAAATAATGGCGAGATAGAGGGCATGTTGATAATTAAATAATAATGTTTTCCGTAATTCGATCGGATTATTTTCGTAACGTCTCTGCAACGCTTTCTTTCGTCTAACGAGCGCTCGATGGAGCGCTTTAATACGGAACGTACACGCGGCACTCTCGTACGAATAAAGTTTACGACGATCGCGTTGCAATAACGCGCCTCACTCTTTTGCACAGTTAAAACTTTTTTACGATGCGGGCGCATACCGTTACCGGGAGACTTCGATCGTAAACGTAATCGCCGCTTGTCGTATGAGTCGTTAAAAAAAATGCGAATCCTACCTCTCCCCGAGATGTCGGAGAAAAACACCGCACGCATATCGGCGAGATGATCTCGGCGATATGTCTATAACGGTAATTAAAGTCTGCGCTTATTAAAAGTGTGTGATTTAAATTCAATTAAAATCACCGTTAAAATCTTCCCGATAAAAGAACGAATTAACGAATCTCTCTTTAAGGTATTTTTTATTATACATTTTATTTCTCTGCTTTTAGCAAAAACGCTCTTGGATCGTAAACAATCTATTATTTGCCAATAAAAGAATATACAATACGACAGGCGACTATAATAAACTTCAAGTTTTAACCGTTAGAAGTTATCGCCTGATAACTGAATTCTGATCATTTTTATCATAAATGTCCTTATTGCGAATGTGGCTAGTCATTTCTAATAAGTGGTTCCAATTATACATCAATACGTACGTGGACATAAACATGGAACTTGCTAATTTTGTAACTTAAAACTACAATGAATTGTGTCTAACAGGCTGATTGTACATATTACGATAAGCTGCTTGCCGTCAGAAGTCATTACAGAGGTCCACGACTACTATGCGCTCACGGTAACGACTTACTCATCACCGACAATTTCCCTCGAGCTATTAACGATTAGTGTAATTGGACAATATTAAGTAATATAATCGGTATATAGATATACCTTTGTCGCAATATACGGGATAGACGCGCGCCTTAGTCGGCATCAGTATATGATATTTTGCTGTTACGTGATGCATACGTGAATTTACGAATTATGCGTTTTTAGAGGATCGATGGAGACGAACTTTCTTCGGAAAACTCCCGAGTTGAAATTTTAATTCTACATTAAGAGTCTATCCAGTTCTAAGTCGTTTAAGTCATCGTTATTTTTCATATTGAGTAAATAACACTCGCCTACAAGAGACTCGCCCGGAGACGGTTTGAAAATAAATCCCATTCGTTATAGAATCGATCCGTTCGTGTGCGTATACAATGTGCCATTCGACTTTCAAAAAAGCTTCCGCGAGTAACAAATATAGACGCAACTCGCATTCAGCTTCTTTTTCGATTGTTGTTTCCGAGAATTATTTGTGAAAGTGTAAAACTACCAGTCTCTGATGAATGAACCTCAAAACGGGAAAAGTCAAAGTCCCGGCAATTAGTCGAAACCTACACACACGTCACGTGTTTTCGAATTTAGCGCGAAGTTGAGAAAGAAGAATGCGAGTCTCGCTTTTGTATTCGCCAGACAATACGTAGTGCGCTTGCAGCGTGCGTGATGCGATTGCGTGCCGCTCGTTGGAAAAGCGAATGCTCTTACCGGTTTGGGACTTGGTGTTGCATGTCGTGTTGGCCGCCAAAATTCCGAGTGCCACCGCCAAAGCGACGCATAAGAGGAACCCGGAAACCGCTATCACCGTTAACCCACGTTCCAAACCGGACCGCCTCTTCCACCATGTCGGGTTTCTGGTAAAAGGAATGGCAAAATGAAAGAAACGACATGATTAAAATCGAAGAGCTGTCGTTAAAGAGAAACGCGTACAAATTGCTCTTTTACGAACGTTAATGCACAAGCGTAAATAAGAATGATAACAGAATAATTTTGTTCCACATTGCCGTATTTTTTTTTAACTGACTTAATTGACTGCGAGGAATAATACTGATTTACAAGATATTTGTTTCTCACTTGAATGGTGATTCTTGTATTTCTTTCCACTTTCCTTAAAATTGTGATATGATAGCCAAATTTGGATAACGGATTCGTATTTAGCAAGCAAAAATACATGAGAAATGACTATTCGCACTCGAGAAACAAAAAAGTCAAATTTTGTCGAACAATATTATTATTCTCGATAGTACTTGAACAACTAACTGTAAATATACGATACGTTTTTTCAAAGCTAAGATTCACTTGCTCCTCGTATTTCATAAATCTGTGCCTAGCAAAAATTTCGAATTTAACAATACTGACGTAATTATCTGAGGATTTTCTATTTCATGCGTCTGTGATTGCACACGCAGCATCACACCTTGATTACTTGTTTGAATTGCATGATTTATAAGATGAGCACCTTCTCTGACTACAGAGAAGACTACATCCTTGCCTTACAGTAATTATGCTAATAACGTTCGCACGAGGTTCGTGAGTTCGGTCTTGTGTGAAACGACGTTGATCATCTATGTATGTTCTAAGCATAAATAAAATGCACGCTGTCACGTGTATTATACGTGCACTACACTTCGTTATGTTTTATACATATCATGTAATATATTTTCTTTCATACGTTCGCTTCGCTTCGCTGGTAAAATATATATATTCTCGTCATTATTATTCCTCTTCTAGAATAACAAGGTTTATGCAGTCACACGTTTAACAAGGTGAATCATATTTGATCGCATAGAAGTATTTTATAGTTTTTTCGACGAATTTTTTCGACTAGGCACTTTTTATTCTCACAATAAGCTACAAAGTATTTGAAAGTAAATAAAATATATCGCGAGATATAAAATAAAATATCTAAAATATAAATTATATAAGCACGGAAACATCAGAATATAGATCCGAACCAACTTTGTTATTCGAAGGTTATATATATGGACGCGTCGTAAAAATCGGCAACTAATTCAAGGTATCTTATCCATAAATGCTTGACAACTTCCTTTTTGATTTTTGATACCGGAACCTATTGTCGTCCGTGCGTTATTACGTCGCGTATCGCGAAAAGCCGCGAGTTATCGGTCGCAGTAAAACGCTACTTTCGGTCCAAAGCACGTCGCGCCGATGCCATTAGCGGGCATCGGAATTTATGGATCGCTTTTCCACGCGACGAGAAAATTGCCGTCTTTCACGGTGGACAATTCGCATTTGAGCGAAAGGCGGGCCGCGCTCTCGGATTCGCGTCGATCGGTCGGTCGGACTTTTATTTTTGTCCCAGCCGCGCGTGCCATTTCTGCGTTTTATTTTTACGGTCATCTCGCGAGATCGCGGCGCATTAAATCCTTCGCGTGATCGGTTCGCAAGACCTTGTCGGAACGATATCGAGTAATGTACGCGAAACACTCCTTTAATGTTCGCTCACTGAGCGAATTTTGCTTCGTCTGTCGACGAAGAAACGCCGTTGCAGTTCAACACATGCGATAGAATGAGTTGGTTTCCTTACGTAACATTATTACCAATGCAGCATTATTATGCGAAGGTTCTCGATTCTTTTGAACACTGTGAGTTCTATAGTTAACTTTAGACCTAGCTGATAATTCCGGTTTTTTTTCCCCGCGTTTACACAATGGAACACGTTGCACAATGTATAAACGTAGTTATATAACAGCGTTTAATTAGAATCGATTCGCCGTGGTTATCGAAAGTCCTGTGTAAATCACTAACGGTCCGCCGATTGAGAAACCGCCGTCTCCGCAAATGTGTGAGTGAGAGAAAGAGAGAGAGAGAGAGAGAGAGAGAGAGAGAGAAAGAGAGGGAGAAAGGGAAATTCGCATCTCTTATTATATAATTATAAAAATTATATATAATTGGATAATAGGAGATGTCCTAGAAAACAAAAAGAAATTTGACATCCAACAAAATGGCTTCGGCCATCGTCTCGCTTGTCTCGCGACGGGCGACATACGTGCGCGCGTAAATGCATCGAGTGCAGGTACTTAGGCTGATAGAGAGCGCATAATAGAACTCATAGCGTGTAATGCAACGGGTGTATTGACCCTATCGAGACGCAACGACACGCCGAGACATCCTCTATCGCGTAATATCGGAGTCAACGGCCTGTATCGTCCGCACCCGATGCGTGGCCTTGACCCCGGCGGCATGAATGAATTTAATACGGAAGCTTCCCAGGCGAGGAAGAAAAAGTTGACGATGGCAGCGTGAGAAAAACCGAAATCCCTGCTACCACGTCGGTGTGCTCATGCGTGATTATTTTGAAATGCAGTGCGCGCGATTACAAAATCGTTTTCTTCCAAACACCATAAGCGAGATATTATGATAAAGTAATTGAGCCCGGCATTATTAATCGTATTTGTATGAAATTATCTTTACGATTTGAATAAATCGATCGTTTCATCTAAGATCCGGGCGATATCGTTGGAACGGGAGAACGTCATGAGATGATCACGGGTGATATTTCGTTATTCATTTCATCGTTTTATCGTATTCGCTTCTTTCTGCAAGATATTACAGATTCGCGCCGGCTGTCGTCGAAATAATTCCGCTATCGCCACCGTAACCTTTCGGATAACACGTCAAAATATCGGTGACGCGGAGAAAGGCCGTGGAGAAGAGGGGTATACCCCCGATTTTGCGGTATTTAACCCCCGGGTAAATCGACGGGAGATTGCGGTCCGTGTATTTATCGCGTCGCTAACCAGGTAATCAAGCCTCATCGTCGGATCGCGATGGATTGATTGATGAGGCGGCTAGTGTGTGAAATTAACGAGCAAGATCGCGCTAACGTTGCTGGGAAACTGTGCTTCGATCGGGCCGTTGGCGAAACTTGCGCGATTGCAATTTCTTTCTTGCAGTCACGCTTTTGCTATTGTGTTATGAAAGAGAACTGTAATCGTCTCGTCGGTTGAGATAACTTGTGATAATTTGAAAGCAAACGAAATGGGATGAAGGACGCGGGTTGTTTTCGTCTCAAAGATGTCAGAATAACGAATAATTAAATATAATAATCAAGCCGATAATAATATTCGCGCACAAGAGTGGAACAAATCGTCAGTTTTGATAAACACTCCATTTCGACGAAACCTTGTTGATGATACGCGCAGATGATAAATCCATGTCGCGCCGTGTATTACACCAAATTGAGAGCCCGAATTTACGTATTTGCGGGTCGGTAAATTCCGGTTTCGATAACCTCGCGAGGTACGCGCGATAATGGCCAAGTAAAATGCGGAGAGTATTACGATAAGGGGTATAATCGCTTCCCTAGACACGCGGACACGTGAATTTTTGCGCACGACGTCGTCACATGAAGCTGTCGAACGTGAGAATGAACGTTATTTTTAGCGAGATACCGCGATAAATCAATCCCGAAGCCTTTACTTCGTGCGTGCGTTATCCGCATGAGCGTGAAAGAGGCAAGAAATACCGTTGATTCCTCGTATTTACGTAAGCTCTTCTTCGACTTGATGTTCCGACTTGCGAAACTCTTTTAGCTCGTTATAGTTATAAATCGTTGTCACGCACGATTTAAAGCTATCGTATCCGGATTGTTGAAAGATCCACCGTCTAATATTAATTGTATCTAGCAGTACATCGTGTTTGCGCAATTTTATAAAAAAAAAATTATTTCTATTACTCTTTATCATTATATATTATTACATTATATAATAATAATATTTACATCAAATAACAACAACAGTAATAATAATTATTATTATATAGTGCTTTTTTTTCCTCTTTAAAATAGTTTGCTGTAACGTCCTTCTTGGAACGATCGATTGTCGATCACCGAATCCGTTGTCCGAAAAGCTGTGTCTCATCGCCGGGAAATCGATTCGCGCGCGCGACGAAACGTGCGTTATCGGAACAACCCGCTGTCCTCCATTGAGCGCGCGCTATCCTCGTGGACACGTTTACCGGTGCACGCGGCACGGTGCCTCTTGACGGAGTGGCGCGACCGCGAAACTATGTCGCACAGGACCGACAGAAAGGCACCGCCGAGAGCTGCATCGTAATGAAGAGACGCACGAGCGAGCGAACAAGGCGCGCGCGCACGACATCGCCTTCACGTGCCATGACCTGGCGCCTCTTAATCGTCTTCCTGACCCTCTTCCCTCTATACCTACGTTGAGATACCGTACTCTCTCTCGTATTGCGCGTGTCTTCGGTGTCGTTAAAGGTACCGAGGTATCTCGGATAGAAACGCTAGCAAATCACGTGTCACCGGTGAGTACGAATGTAATGAATGTAACCATCATTAATGATTAATTATTACATTAAACTATAAAGTATACAATTACCTTTTTCATATTTATAAAATGTGAGCAATATGAACAATATAGTTCAATATTGGTTGATGATAACTTCAGCGTTAAAGAGAGATTCAAGTATTTTATTAATTGTTAATTGTCAGAGTTTTTCCAAGTGTCTTCTCAGTGGTTTTCTTGAAAAAATTTCATAACATTGGATTCGACATTCGTTATTATTTGAATCGGTTTTAGCAAGAAGGTAGTTAATTTAAATTAAATTTTATCTGCGATGTACCGCCCCATCTCCATTCGATCGTAATTAGATTTATCGAGAATTATTTGTTATGGTCATTTGAGATACCGATTATTCATATTGCCTTTCGTAATCTTCTTGTGATTCAGTCCTTCGTTTGCTCATTCCGCTACATCGGCAAATACGTCGTGTTTTTAACATCGCGGTCTTATTATCTTTATGATTCGTTTTAAATTGTCATCGGAAAGTTTTGGTTCGTTGATCTATCTTTTCCATGCGTTCGTTTCAT